TTTGGTGTGGTCTTTTAACTGGGTAAAAGCACAACCCATCCAGAAAACACTAGTGTTTTCTCTGTGCATGAGACATTTCCTATCGTCATCGATCCATCGCATTATCAATAGCGTGGGGATGTAATATCAGGCTTCCGCTAGGTTTCACAAAGCAAGGTGTCCTGGGGAAGACGCTGAAGTGTCGTTTTATCACGCGTTCCCTTGAACGTTGCTTCTCGTATTCATTTATCACGAGGCGTGCTATTTTGACGTTTTAAAGCCCAGGAACAATCCCGTGTTAATATCTTGGCTTGTCAGCTTTAATATGAGCAATCAATGGTATCTGTGCCCAGGGTGACTGGATTTCTGCCGACATCAATATAACCTCATCTGTGATCTAGGCAGCTTGGGATTTTGACTGGTTTTCAGTGCCCGATTAGAGCTTGGTTTCATTTAGGATGATTATGACCTAATCTCTGACCACGGTGACGTGTACCACAGGAGTAGTCAATCTGCGAGGTTATTTTTTTGGTGTTTACAAATATATGTAATTAGTGCCATGTCACCGTAGGTTGTAGTAGAATCTGCCTTCAGGGGACAAGAGTCCTTCTGCAAACGTTACAATCTGAATAGAAGTTCATACGAAGCCAACTCAGATGACGATGAGATACCGTCAACTACCTGGGGTAGAGGAGTAGTGATGAAGGATGAGGATGAGGACCATTCTCATAGATTGAGCTGGTTGATCTTTACCCGAAGTAGATCAGAGGCGGTGGGGAGTAGCAGTATCCGTGGCCCCATAATCCGCGGTGTATTCGTCCGCATCTACGGAGTATCTAGATCTTGACCTTTAGTCGACATTTTCCGTGCGCGGGTTCTTGCTTTTCAGAAATGTCATCTTCTGACAGGGGCCCAGAGATGAAGGGTGAGAAACAAAGCTCATCTGGTACTGCTGATGGAGCCCCCGTCATCTCACCAGTCGAATCAAAGCAACCGTTCCCACCCCTCTCTCCTGATGACCTCGCCGCAACGTCCCATCATACCTATGAGAGCATCTACGCAGAGGAGGACGAACAGGAACTAACATCTCCACATCATGCGGATGTGGAAGTTGAAGATGACGATGTGGATTTCCAGTCCCACTACTCCCTGGACAACCAGTCGTTCTCCGATGCTTCCACGGATTCGGAGGAGCTGTCTCCCGACGATGGCATCGGTATGCACCACCCATTTCGACAGTCCTCGAGTTCTCTCCACGGACCGAATGCCTTTGCGCCACCATTCTATAATCGACCGCCAACGCCGCTACCTCCATCGCCATCCTTGACCTCGCTCCTCAGACCCCCGTTTTCGACCACTACTTCTCGCCCCACCACCCCTGATAGCTCCGATGTGGAAACACCCAATGACACTGAAGCTGCCGTGGCCAAGTCAGCCCGGCGTGCGACAACTGTTCCGCGGGCGAGCCCGAAAGTGCCTACCTACGAATACTATGGCTTTGTTCTCTACCTGGGCTCTTCGCTGGCCTTCTGTAAGTTGGACCCTGTTGAAAGCGCGGGCTCTTCGGTGGCGCTGACGTCTCCAGTGATCTATATTCTCTGGTCCTTTCTTCCATCCCCCTTCCTCCATCAGCTTGGCATATACTATTACCCCAACCGTTGGTGGTCACTGGCATTCCCCTCTTGGCTGGTTATGTCCATTATCTACATTTATGTCGCCTTGGCGTCGTACAATACGGGCTACTTGACTCTCCCGATGAATAGCATTGAGAACATAGTGGATGAGGTGGCCAACGTGGCAGTAATCGACGGTAAAGCTAGAAGGCGACCTGGTGGCGCCGCGCAAATGCGGCCTGGTGCGACCTCATATCAGATCATGGGACCCCAGAATCGGAAGGTTAATTGGCCAGAGATATGGAATGAGGGGACCGATGCCGTGATGGATATCCCTGTGGGGGGCGTCTGTGAAGTTTTGTACGGCCAAGAACGGGATGATGATGAGTTGTATGATGAGGTATCCGATGCGAGAGAGACTTGACCAACCGGTGTTAGAGCCAGCTTACACTTGAGATCTCGTGAGAAAACGAGTTGTCTGGCCTTCTGGTCGGCCAGCGCATTCTGAATGCTGTTCAGTGTTCGCGCACTTGCTTGCTTCCACGACGCAAAATTACTGGTAGCAAGGGGGGTGGGCCTTTATTCACACTGACGAGTTGAATGATCGCAGAACCAAATTCTGGAATGGCGAGCTGAGCCAACTCCCCCAGACAGATCACTAGGTATGGGAGCAATGGGTTGCGGGTACCCATATATTTGGAATTCTTCAACACCCTCTGCCATTATCGGTATTGCGTGGCGTGGCCTTCAACCGTGCAATATGGGCGTTTAGGCACACTCCACTCACCTGGCCCAGTCCGATTGTCAACGAGACTGTGGAGGCAGTACTTCGTATACAACAGAGATTGACGCGGACTGAAACCCGTCATTTGCTGCAAATAAGCGAAACGGTGTTCTAGAGATGCAAAGTACTGGTTGTATACTTTGACCTCTTGATACGGGGAATACCCGCGTCTTCTACGAGAAAGATGGCGGAAGTGAAGAAGGACAAATCGTCTATCAACCTATATACTACAATAGAGGTTCTTATGAATGAGACATCTGGTTCCTGAAAGGATGACGCTCGTATTGTCCCACTGTCAATCTCTTTACAGGTCACAAACGTTAGTAGCATGGGGCACGTTAAGCTTGCAGGGTCCAGCCCACAGCCAAAAGCAGCTAAGGCAAGCCTCGTTCGGCCTGAACATCCAGAATAGATTAAACCCCTAGATTTCAAGAATGAGAAGAACAAAGCCCAAAGAATGACAGTTCGTAGACAGCATCCCTACCTGAGGACACGGTATGGCCATCCCCTGACAAGGGCGCCTAGAGCGGCTAAGCCCGCGTGGGCGCCTAGAGCAGCCAATCTCGGTCGAGTCATCTCCGAACTCTGAACCCCAGCCTGAGCGAACCACAACGAACCAAACTTCGCTTCAACGCGCCATCGACTTGCTCACCGTCTGCTTCTCACCCCCCCAGCCCTCCCGCCTGCACCTACCGGGACGATCTCCTTTTCTTCTGTCCGCATACCCCTTGTTGACCTCGAATTTTTGTCGCCTCTTCTCTCCTCATTACTTTCCGGTCTTATCGACCACCCCATCGACATCCGTTGTTGTTTACTTGTTCCGCTAGCGCTGACACGGTCGGGATCCTCGTTTCCGCCGGTGTTGCCCGCCGTGAGACTCGAAAAACGGTCGGCTTTAACTTTAAGTCTCCGAACTTTGTGGATCGATATAGCCTCAGTGTGTACAGTTTTACTGCATTGTTCTGTTTTACGCCCGGATCTCAGGACCGTCTGAACTCCGCCAGACGGAGGTGCGGTCTTCTTCACCATTACCCCGTCGGTCGGACGCTTTCCCACCCCAACCTCCTCCCGTGGTGATTTCGCATGGCGTGGCAATCCCCTTCACCCATGGCTGGGGGTGGAGGATTCGCCGGACCTGGTGGTGACGGGTCGCCTAACGGTGGACAACCTCATGGAACGGAGTACACATTGCAAGGTGGGTTCTCGGCTAAAGTACCACCCCCCCCTGGGATTTCTCAGACTGACCGGTGTCGCGGTTCGATGTAGGTGTGATGCGCTTTTTGCAGACAGAATGGCATCGGCATGAGCGAGACCGCAATGCGTGGGAGATCGAGCGCGCGGAGATGAAATCTCGCATTGGGCGCTTGGAGGGCGATGTGCGGACGAGCAAACGGTTAAATGAATCGCTAGGGAAGCACGTGCGCTTGCTCGAGGCCGCGTTGAAAAAGGAGCGTGAGAAGGTGAAGAAGTTGAGTAATAATGAGAAGGTTGAGGACACCCGGGATGCTAAGGAGATCGCTCGTGAGAGCTTAAACGCCATCAAATGTATGTTTTCTTGGTGTGTCAGTCATGGTCGCCGTCGTGCTTTACTGATCATTTTTCTTCCCTCTATAGCGCAGCGCCCGAAATTCTCAATCGATGTCGGCGACAACGATGCCAGCGCAGACAACCATCCCGATTTCCGACAAGAATCCGAACGAGACAAGTCGCGTCTCTACCTGTCCAAGGCCTCCCAGGAGATCACATACCACGTTATTCCCTCGTCGCAGCCGCCCCTTGATCTCAGCGACCAAGACCTTTCCAACCATGTTTACGGGGGCCAGCAGCTGCCGCAGCAGAGCTTGGAGGAAGCATACATTCAACAGCAACGACAGAAACAACAGCAGCAGCAGGCCAACCATATGATGGCCCGCGAGGTGGCTTTACAGAACCACCAGCCTATGGCGCCTCCCTATGGCGAAAATGCGGCTATGAACCGTTCTATGAACCGGTTCGGTATCCATCCCGCTCCTAGGGACGGCCTGGAGCGCAGACCGCTGGAGCCGCAACCCCCAGCCGCGTCCGTTGAGAATAGGAGACACTCTTTGGAAGCTGGTCCGCCAGACGGTGGTGCAGCTGAAGAATCCCAGATGTTTGAAGGCCATGCAGCACCTGGCAAGAAGGGCGACATGACGGCCCAACAGACGGAGGACCAGCCGGACGACACCGATGGTTGGAACTTTGACGAGCCGGAGCCGGAGCCTCCGACAGAGCCAATGCCCCCTCATCGCCCGGATGTGGATGCTTTCCCGAACGCCAATTTCCCCAAGTCCCCGCAGCGATCTGCGGCCCTTTCCCACCGTCGGAAGAGCTCCGGGGCGAGGCGCAAGAGCGAGGGTGCTGCGGACATAGCCGGCGAGGATGCGAAGCAAAACTCCCAGTTTAATGTGCGCTTTGTTCTCAGAGGACATCTGGACGTCGTGCGGGCGGTGATTTTCACTGGTGGGGGTAGCCCTTCGGAGCCTGAAATCTGTACGTGTAGCGATGACGGGACGATCAAGCGCTGGACTATACCCGCTACGTTCGGGAACTTTGGCCCTCACGGGCCTAACTCCGATAACAATTTGGACATCACGAGCTACTTCACCCACCGCGGACACACCGGGGCCGTAACTGCCCTAGCCGCGTGCTCTCCGCAGCAGAATTTCTCTAACGGAGGTCGTGCGACGGGCGACGGATGGGTGTTCTCTGGTGGACAGGACGCTAGTGTCCGTGTGTGGGAGCGTGGGAGAGTTGATCCAAAGGCCACGTTGGACGGCCACACTGATGCGGTTTGGGGGCTCTGCGTTCTGCCTGGCACGGCAGGGTCCATATTTGGCGATGACTGTAGCCATTACGGTGGACCGGATCGAATCCTGCTCGCATCTGGTGGCGCGGATGGGCATATCTTAATATGGGCGGTTAGCGCGCCGCCCCAGCTTTCTTCGCCCCAAGCAGGTTCGCGACGAGCTGGGGGAAGTCGACGCGCGAATTCGATCTCTTCGGGATCGAACTTCCCGTCATCCCCGCAGCCGAGCATAGCCACTACTACGCCATTCCACTACTCCCTGGTCCGCAAGATCGTCCGGACCGAGTCCCCGTCCCCGACATGCATTAGCCCGCTGTCTCTTGCGGGAATCAACTTTGTGGTTTCCTACACTGATGCTTCCATCCTTGTCTACGACACGCGAACCGGGGAGGAGATCGTGGGCATGGCCAGCTTGGAGACGTACGACGGTACGCCGTCGACTGGGGTCAACAGTGTTGTGACCAGTACGATCGGATTCGACGGGTCCGCTAACCTCGACCCCGCCCGGCAAATGGCCGAGGAAGAAGTGGTACACGGCGCGACTGGGTCGAGTGGCGTGGAGGGTGTGATCATCAGCGGATACGAGGACAAGCACATTCGCCTGTTTGATGCCAACAGTGGTACGTACATGTGATATGCCCCGACATTATGGAAGACGATATGCTAACGTTTGCACAGGCCAATGTACCTATGCCATGCTGGCCCACACAGCCCCCATTGCCTCCCTCTCGCTCTCCCCTGACGGACGGGAGCTGGTTTCCGCTGGCCACGACGCGAGCCTGCGGTTCTGGGACCTGGAGAAGCGGAACTGCTCCCAAGAGATGACCAGTCACCGACCGATGCGGGGCGAGGGGATCACCAGCGCCGTGTGGAGCCGCGACGGCCGCTGGGTCGTCAGCGGGGGCGGTGATGGCATTGTTAAGGTGTTCTCGAGATAAATGCGACCCTCGATGTACGATTTTATTTACTATTCTATATCCCCCGCTGATACTTTTCTTCTGCCCCGTGTACTTTGGACGTACGAATGGATGAGCGCTTGGCTGATTCTTGAGCATTTGCAACGGTGTTCACTTACCCCTGGCACATGTTCCTTTCTACTTGTGTGGTTATAGTTTTCTTTCCTTATTTTTCCCCCTCCCCTTATGTGCTACACTTTACGATTCATCTTCACTTTCTCTTCTTGGCGATCTTCATTCATCCGTCTTTTCTTTATCTCACTCTCTTCTACCTTTCCTGTATGAAGTCTTTTGTGTCGGAGGGCGCTGCGTGGAATACACTTATATTTACATGGATGCCTGAATCAGCTTCAAGCGGCGATGATAAGCCTGCATTTTCAAGATCGTGTCAATCGGAGTTCTGGGTTTGTTTCTTTGTTCCTGTACACCAGACAACACCTACTATAAGCTTCGGCATCTACCTACCTAGTACTTAACTTACTCGAGCATACTACATACCTCCCTAGCAGTATTGCCCTTGCCTTGGATAGACCTAAGAACTTCAACGATTCCCCTAGCCATATAATGGAGCAAGTAGAACTGATGTGCCAGACTTTTGAGAAATTAGTGGCTCTTCTTGAACATACCCATAAGCACAATCCAGCCAGGTATCATAGGTGGTAGGTATAATCATCCATCAATGGTAATCACCGACTCGACCCCCAAGCCCCCTTGAACAAACCTCTCAACCTCTCCGCCTCCCCCTTATCCCCAACCCTCTGCTCCAAAAACCCCTGCAAATCATCCCAAAACGCCTCCGTCCCAAGCACCTCGTCCCCACCAGCCGCTTCCGCCTCCGCCGTCGAGGGTTGCTGCTGCTGCTCCTGCTGCTCCTGCTGCTTCTCAACAACCACCGCACCCCCCATGACCATAACACCAAACTCAACGGCCTTCCCACCACTCAACATCCCAGGTTCATCAGCGACCACCTCCGCGATCGTCTTCCCGGACACCGGCTTCCGCTTATACAGGATCTTGATCTTCTCGAGCGGGACCTTGTTTCCCGCGGCGTCGGCGACGACGCGCGCCTGCACGGCGTCCTTGAGGTCCTCGACGGTGGTGGTCGACAGCGGTGCGTTGGGGACGCTAAATTCCAGGACGGGGTTGCGTGCGGATTTCACGTGTACCGTGATCGACTTGGATGAGCCGGGGGCGGCGCGCTGGTTGGCGGTCCTTTTGGGCATTGGGGGGTGCGGGGAGGGGAGCTTGGGGAGGACGTACTATATTTTTTGGGGGGGAAACTGTTAGTAAAATTGTTTCTTTGGTGTTCATTATGGAGGTTTCTCTGATATTGCTGATGCTGCTTGCTTTGGGGGAATATGAGAGGAGGGACATACCGGTGCGCGGAGGGGCACTCGCTCCGGGTCGATGACATAGTCGGCGGGAAGTTTGACGGGTTTGGAATCGAGGGAGTTGAGGAAGGATTTGATGAAGCTGACTTCTGTCATTTTGGCGTTGGTTTGATCAGAATAGAGGATGATTAGGTGGTAGGATAGGTAAGAGAGAGAAGTGAATAGGTGAGTAGACTGGTTTGATATCGGAGCTCAAGGCATTAAGGTGGGCAGTTGGCAGCTTGCGGGAACTTGCCTGTTTCGGGCGGATGGGGTGCTGCTTTAGCTTACTGTGGTAAAGCGGCAACAGCTGGCGGAAAAGTTATGCAGCCTGAATTTACAGGCAAACGTTATACACACCGCCTTCAACTGCCACCCTCCACCGCCGGCGGAAAGAAAAGAAAAGATGGGAGAAAAAAAAAATCCACCCGATCTGTCGCATAACAATTTCACCCAATTCCTTTTTTTTTTATATTTCCCCCACCTTCAATTCTCACAATGGGTGTAGGACGTCGCATGAAGAAGCAGGGCCCTCCGGCCCCGCTGGATGCGGCAACGATTTCGATGATCAAGAAGCGCAAGGCTGGTGGGGATGTTACAGGAACTAAGACCGAGAAGCGACGGAAGGCCGAAGACCTCAAGCCTGTGAAGGCCCCTAAGAAGACCAACGGAGCAGCTGCGAACGGAACGACTGCTAAGAAGGTGGTGGTGGAGGAAACGAGCAAGGGCAAGGGCAAGCCTGTCGAGAAAAAGCGACAGATCTTGGAGTCCGACGATGAGGATGAGGAGATGTCCGGTATCGAGGAAGACGACATGGACGACGAGTTTGACGACCTCGATGGTGTGAGCGATGGATCGATGGGTAGCAGCCAAGACGAAGACTCGTTGGTCGACTCGGACGAAGACGACCACCCCCGCGAAGCCATGTTCTCCGACGACGATTCCGATGCGGAGGAGCAGTTGACGGCGGCCAACATCGAGGGTCTGTCGCGGAAACTCGACCTGGAGAGGGAGGCAGAGGAGGAGGAGGCAGAGCGAGAATTGCAGGAGGCGGCCATGCAGACGAACATCGCCGGGGACCGTCCGGACGTGTTTGGCGCCGAGACTGGACAGCCCGGTATGGCGCCCGACTTGCAACTCCTCCGCACCCGAATCACCGACACGATCCGCATTCTTGGCGACTTGAAGACTCTGGGCCAACCGGACAAGTCGCGCGCTGAGTACGTTCAGTTCCTCATCAACGACATCTGCACCTACTACGGATACACGCCGTACCTCGCCGAGAAGCTCTTCAACCTGTTCTCGCCGTTGGAGGCATTCGCGTTCTTCGAAGCGAACGAGACGGCGCGACCCGTCGTCCTCCGTACCAACACCCTGCGCACGAACCGTCGGTCTCTGGCGCAAGCGCTCATCAACCGCGGTGTGGTGCTCGAGCCGGTCGGAAAGTGGTCCAAGGTCGGTCTGCAGGTGTTCGAGTCGGCGGTGCCCCTGGGTGCGACGCCCGAGTACCTGGCCGGTCACTACATCCTCCAAGCGGCATCGTCCTTCCTCCCCGTCATGGCTCTCGCCCCGCAGCCCGATGAGCGTGTGCTCGATATGGCCGCCGCCCCCGGTGGTAAGACGACGTACATCTCGGCGCTGATGCGCAACACCGGCTGCGTGATCGCCAACGATGCCAGCAAGCCCCGTGCCAAGGGTCTCATCGGTAACATCCACCGTCTGGGTTGCAAGAACACGATCGTCACGAACCTCGACGCCCGCGAGGGCTTCCCTCATACCATCGGCGGTTTCGACCGGGTGCTCCTGGACGCTCCCTGCACCGGTACCGGTGTCATCGCCAAGGATCCCGGCGTGAAGACCTCCAAGACCGAACGCGACTTCCTCGCCATCCCGCACATGCAGCGCCAACTGCTGCTCGCCGCCATCGACTCGGTCAATCACGCGTCCAAGACAGGCGGCTACGTCGTCTACTCTACGTGCAGTGTCACAGTGGAGGAGAACGAGGCGGTGGTGCAGTACGTGTTGAAGAAGCGCCCCAACGTGAAGCTGGTCGACACCGGCCTCGGCGACTTCGGCAGCCCCGGTTTCACCAAGTACCAGGGCAAGCACTTCGACCAGAAGATGACTCTCACCCGCCGGTACTTCCCGCACCGCGAGAACGTCGACGGTTTCTTCGTCTCGAAGTTCAAGAAGACCGGTCCCAGCCCCACGACCACCGCCCCCGCCGACGGCACCGCGGCCCCGGCCGATTCCAAGCCCAAGACGGCCTCCAGTGCCTCCTCTGCCGCTACCACCGACGACGAGGACGTCATCGACAAGACGCCGATCACGGACGAAGATGGCATGGTCCCCGATTCCGAGGGCGGCGCCTTCGGGCCGTTCGAGGACAACGCGGACGACGACAAGGAGCGGATTCTGCGTGCGGAGCGCAATCGCCTCCGTCGCAAGGGCCTCAACCCCAAGGCTGTCCTGAACAGGCCCAAGAAGGCCAAGGATGAGACCAAGCCTGCGGAGGCGCCGGCACAGGAAGACAAGAAGGATGCGGCCCCGAAGCAGGCGGAGAAGAAGGCGGAGAAGAAGGACGAGAAGAAGGCGGACAAGAAGGAGGATAAGAAGAAGGCCAAGAAGGAGACCAAGAAAGACACCGTCCCCGAACAGGCCGAGAAGAAGCCCAAGAAGGAGGACAAGAAAGACGCTACTCCCGAGAAGAAGAGCAAAAAGCCCGCCGCCGACGCGTCCAAAGGCAAGAAGGGCAAGAAATAATTACCTCATCGACTGTATAGATGTGTTTTGAGGAGGGCAAAAAGCATCGTGATTATACTCTGGCGGATGGCGCAGTCATGTCTGTTTTCTTTTTCTTTTTCTTTGTTGGATCATGTAGTAGATATTGTTCGTCACTGAATTCAATAGATACCATTTATTTTATGTGTCTCTTTCTACACGATAGATGGTGTGGTTCATGTCCACCCGACATTCCTATGGGGGCATACACTGCTAGAGTACGGAGTACTTCAACCCTGCCTACCGATATAACGAGATGGATGATGTTGGACGTCAAGACCCTACCGCTCGCGCCTCGCCAATCAGTGTTTTTTGTGGTCGAATGGTCAAGATGAAAGACATGCTAACAGACGGGTACAGGTCAACACCCTGATATTCATTCTGACCTTATAGGGAAAAACGCTAACTATTTCCAGGCCCCCAGCCAAGAAGATACAAACAGCCCATGTCTCCACAAAGTGGATAAATCAATAAATACATACAAAGAAAGAAAAATAAGAATATAATAAAAAAGCCGCAACACCCCCTGCGAATCTGACCATCCCTTGCTATGAGCGAATCGAAGAAACCGCCAGCATCATGAACAGAATAAAGACAATCAAACCAAGCACCGCGGGAAAGACACTATCTGCGGAGTGTTGTTCCCAAGGATCATGGCCGGGCGGAGCATGGAGGTCATTGGAGAAGGTGTGATACTGGTGTTGTAGCGCTGGGTTGGGAGCCATGTTGATGGGCTGGGCGGGGTCTGTCGCGATGTCATGGTCTGGGGGGTGCATTCCATGGTGATGATGACCATGGTGATGATGATCATGATCCTGTGTAATTTAGTTGAAGGTCTCACGGGCTAAAAATAGAGAGTTTCTAGCACGGAGGAATCCATGCTAGGAAGGCAAGGGAGTAAGATTGAGATGAACATACTGGGGGTGGATGATGGTCTTCCATGGCTAGTTAGTAGGGCTGGACTCAACCCATCCTATTCGCAAAGGAAATTATCGATCATATAGAGTTCTTTCTTAGAAGAGATGAAGTGAAGCCAAACTCTATCCAAGCTAGCACGTGCATTAAGGCTGACAAGAATCCAAATACTTTACGTACTGAACTTCATTGCTCCGCCACGATACTACCCTATCCTGATGATTAACCACACCACCCATCCAACCAGATGAGAACGGTGATTTTACTCATGCCAAACAAATAGTACCTTACAAACATGCTCACCCTCTCCATCCAATCGCTCGAAAGCCGCATGTCTTGGCTTTGGGACAAGAGAAGCTGAGCATTTTCTCTACACGGTTAGAATGAACTACGTTCTGCAACGATGCCTGGTCGCAATGGTCCGCTCCAATCGTGAAGAACTTCTTCTGACTTCCCCTGTAAGAGCTATAAGACCGGTTCCAACGCGATCAGCAATGCCCAAACTCTCGACTCAGCCTCAGACAAGGGCTTGTCTCAAAAATAGGAACCAATGGCGGCGGACGATGGCTTTGCCATGGCGAGTATATCGAGCCATCGCGCGTAGGGGCTCATCTCCAAGCGTATGTAGAGGTCGGATGCGTCGGAAGGCACGACTGATTTGGAAATGACGCTGCGCTGTGCATCTAACGAAAGTTAAGACTTCTATTGATTGGGTCTGGAACTGACGCCGAGGGTGCCGTAACCTCGACCAGGAACCAAACCCTAGTCAATATCTGTGGGGGCCGATGAAGACTTGGATGGTACGATATGATTCCTAAAGAAGAATGACCATTGCTCTCGATATATGGATCCCGAGAAAAAAGATATAAGAAGGGCCAGGGCCTTCGCAGATTTCGACCTCGTTCAGTCGCATCAATCGCATCGCAACAGTCGAACCCCTCTGCAACTATTCATCATTATAGACCCACCAGTATGTGGTCTATAATACCCATTGTGCTATTCTCCCTTGTGGCATCTGCCTCCCCGGTGGAACACAGTCTCGCGCGACGTGACGTGTGCGACGGAGAAAATGCCACGCCTGTTCTCTACCACGAATACCGGGGCGACAAATGCAAACCCAAGTACTCGATGAACAAAGACGGCGTTTGCAACCATGCCCATTGGCCGGAGAACAAGTGCGCTGCCTACTGCCAAGTACGCACCAAGTTCACCTACGGCCAGGAGCGGCCCTTCCCCAACACCTATTGCCACGGCCCCGAGAGCTGCACCATCACGTCTACGCACACCGTCACCGTTGGCTGGTCGGTCACTATCTCCCCGCAAATCCAGAGCGCGATGAAGGTGGGTGTCTCCGGTGGCTTCTCAGGGAGCTCGGGGGATGCCTTCGCGCGTAGCTACTCGATCAAGCTGGAAAGCGGCCAGTGTGGATATTTCACCTACGTGCCGGTGGTCAAGGAGGTCTGGTATGTTTCTTCCTCCATAGTTCCTCTCTATAAGCTGCCCCTGTGTCCACGATAAGAGACTAATGAAATAAAGCGGTACCCTCTCGACCCAGCATGTTCGCGCCATGCCCTCCCCCATTCTTCCCGTTTATTGGTGCCTCGGCGACTACACAACCACCGGCAACGTGTGCGCGCAAGAGCTGCGCCACAACTCGGATGGGTCCGTCGACGGCGAGACCATCTTCGTGCGCACCCACTGTGACAACCGCATGCCGCTCCCCTCCGGGGACCAGGACCCCGTCTACCAGAAGCCCGGCGTGCCCATGGACCGCGGGATGCAGGAGGCCTGGGCCGAGACGTGGGGCAAGGAAGACCTGACGGCCGCGGACAAGGACTCGCCAGTGAAATGCGAGACGAGCGATGGGTCACCCAAGGTCGAGGACTGCAGGCACGCATTCGGCTCGCTGCTGCAGAATCCTCAAGTGCCGGTTACGGCAGGAAAGAAAGGGAAGACTTATTGGGCTGGTGTATGTTTTTTTTCCCCTCATTTTGTTCCCTTTTCGTTATTTCTTGTATACCGGTTTTTTGTCCTTTCACATTGGAAAACTAACGGCTGCATAGTATGTCCACTCGTGCGCAATCGCCCTATACTACCAGTCGGATTGGGACGAGGATTCTTGCGACATCAAGCTGGGCGATATCGCCGTGGCCGCGTATTCCATCACCGAGCAGTGTTCGAAGGATGGCGAAGAGCGAATTGGCGGGAGACGCAATTTCGAGAAGGATGGGTGCAAGGCTCAGTTGGAGATTATTCACACGGAGGGGACGCCCCCTAGTGGTGTCTGATATAGTATACTGTATGATGGCATACCGAAAGGATTGCTGTATGGTGGGAGGTTCGGGATTGAGTTGAGTTCTTGTCGGATATATTTTACTGGACATATTTATCAAAACTAATTGATTATACTTTGACGCTTAACTAAACATGGGTCAATAACGCAGACATGTAATTGCTTGCTGTTTTACTCTTTTTATGGCCTACAGACCAGTCTATATGTAACCAAACTATATCATTCCGTTTCCTACCATCAAGCGTCCATCAAGAACATCACCATCACCACCAGTAACTTACTTACACTACCTAGATAGCATAGTATAGTAAACTAGGGTAGTATACCAAGCACCATCACCCCTCTCGGCATCCAACACAAAATTCCCGCCCGCATCCCCAGCAACAACCTCCTCGTCTACAATCAACACAGCAAAGAACATCGCATTCTCGTCTTCCTCGCCCGCATTTCCGACCGCACATGGTGATACCCCGGCCCCTCATACCACGTCTCCCCCACCCGGCTGATAAACTGCTCGTCACCGTTCATCTGGTTCAACACCGTCCCGTCCGCCACCACCGCGATCACCGCCGACCCGCCGTGCGTGTGCGCCGGCGTCGCCGCCTTGCTGTCCATGCTGACCATGCCCAATACGACTGCTTTGCCGGGGATGTTGGGTGGGTGGTAGATTTTGAGGACTTGGAAGGTTTCGCGGGGGTGGCTTGTTTGGTCAGTATTGATACTATCGGGTGGTATAGTATGGGATGATACAGTATGGGGTATACTAGGGTAGGAATAGGCGATGGCTTACCCCTCTACATGGTAAGTTTCGCCGATTTCGATCACTTTGAGAGATGACATTGTGATCTATCTCTTTGTTTTAGTCTTTGTTCTTTGTGGATGTGGATTATATTAAGTTCGTCTGTGGACTGTACAGAGATAGGGTTCAGAGAACCGCCGTATAAATTTGTGATTTATCCATGATACTATAATACTATGGTCGCACACTCTAGGCCATCCGGGACTTCCACGCGGGATGTGAGGAATTTACTTGATTGGAGGCTTCTTCGTATTTGATATCCTAGGTCTTCGTAGATAAAGAGATGCGGTGAGCATAGACGACAGGAGTACCACGGCTGGTGGTACGGATGACGTGTGTACCGCTCTATCTGGGGTTGCAATTCGATTGACATACTACCGCTACATTACTATAAAAGCATTCCCAAGCCCAACACCCACTTCACAAGACAAGAAATGTGAAAATAAGAAGAGCAGTATAAAGAAATAAAGAAGAAGAAGAAGAAAAATGCGCGCCCTTATCCAACCCACCCCGACCGCCCCCTCCTCCGCCCTAATCCTAACAACAGACAACCCCACCCCCACAGCAGACCACACCACAATCGAGCACCTCATCCGCGTCCACGCCTGCTCTCCCTGCGCCAACGAGCTCAACTGGTCCACGTACGTGGACCTCCCCGCCCTCCGTGCCCTAATACCGTGCCCCGACGTCGCCGGCACGGTCGTGACCGCCCCACCGGACTCGCCCTTCCAGCCGGGTGACGCCGTCTACGCCCGCACGAACTACATGCGGCCCGGTAATGCGCGCGACTACTCTACTGCCCTGACAAACGAGCTCGCGCGCAAGCCGGCATCCCTGAGCTGGGTGGAGGCCGCCGCCGTGCCGGTGTCGGCGCTGACGGCGTGGCAGATTCTGTTCGTGCAGGCGGGGGTGGTGGTTGAGTCTGGGGCGGGGCTCGAGGCGGCGAGGGCGCAGTGGAGTGGAAAGCGTGTGCTGGCTACGGCTGCCGCTGGGGGCGTTGGCTTGTGGGTGGTGCAGCTGGCGCGGCTGCTGGGGGCGGAGGTCATCGGGACGTGTGGGAATGCGGAGAGCGAGGCGCTGGTGCGGGGGCTGGGTGCCATGGTGTTGAACTATCGGACGACGGATTTCAGGCGCTGGGCGGAAGAGGATGCGAATAGAGTTGATGTCGTGGTCGATAACGTGGGCGGGTCGGCGCTGCGGGATGCATGGTGGGCTGTGAGGGATGGGGGCGTCGTGCTCAGTATCGTTGAGCAGCCGGGGATGGCGCGGCCGCGGGAGTGCTCGGCGGAGAATGTGAGGGAGGTGTTCTTTATTATGAGCCCCGATGGGGAACAGCTGCAGCGGATCACGGAGCTGATTGAGGAGGGAAAGTGTCGTCCGAGGGTGGACAGCGTGTGGCCGCTGGAGCATGCCAGGGAGGCGTTTGCCAGGCTGGATGGGGGGCATGCCAGGGGAAAGATCGTGTTGGATTTGTCCTTGAATCAGTAGGTATTTGTGAGGGAATGCTGTTAGGTTGGCATATTTATAGCATTTTGGTCGGAATTCAATAGCACCCTATTGAGTGTTGCCAATGGCCTTAGCCGTCCGGAATTAACAGCTCTATGGACTTTAAATTGACGTATCATAGGAGTCATTTGATCTTAGTTACTGCACCAAAACATCGAACGGCATTTTGATCGCGCTTGATATCCGCCTCTTCATTGATCACCAGATTACCAATGGAGATATCTCCTTGGAGAATGCCTGCCTTGATATGTAAAGATTCATAGCCTAGACCAATTTAATAAGAGTCATTCGGAGCACAGCATAAGCAACACAGTCTTACCTTCTATGCAATATCTAAGCGCACTGACAAGCGCGACACGGGAACTAGCTTTATAAGTCAACTCCCACATCACAATGACAGAATCCCTCCAGGACATCTCTATGAAACATGGACTGGGCAAAATCCAAGCAAGGATGAATATTATTCCTCACTGATCAAGAGAAATCTTGGTCCTTTGCTTAGACGATCCCCCACCCCTCCGAGCATACATGTCCGGCTCACACGAGAGACAAGTCACGGCGGTTCCTGCCGCTGTCAGTGGAGGGAGAGTCACGCTTGCAATAACCATGATAGATACACTGTTAACAAGAAGTCAGGGTAAGGAAGGCAAACTCAATAACCCATAGATACGGTTGGTTGATCTAAAACTCGACGTCGATCGTCTCCGCATTGGCAGGATCCCCGCAATCTCTTCCCCGCCCCATGGTCTGTTCGCCTTCGCCTTGCAGGTTTCAACGCTTAGCTCCAACCAAGTTACATCGAGTTCAACGAAAACACTGAAACGCCGAGGAACGGCAAGCCCCTCAGGATTCCCCAGCGGGGAGCGGCCGAGGTCTTCTGTGGTAAATAACATGTGGCTGCAGGCGAGGGATCCCCAAGTAAATATAGAGATGGAGTCGGCTACAATCTTACGACAATTTTGTCAGAACCTAGCTTCGACTGCTGGAAGACATTAAATTGCCAGCTATCGCAGAATTCTACGACAACATGACCGTCGTGACGGACAACTCCAGTGGCTACGTGCACAACCTCACTCCCGCTCAGGAGGCTAAGCTGCGCGATCTGTGGGTCTTTTTCTTCACGTCCGCCGCATCGATCCTCACCAGTGTGTACGATGTCAAGCTACCGGAAGGCCCGCCCAGCAAGCTCTTTGAAGTGCTCGACAAGATCACGGAGCCGACAGTCGAGGCGGTCATTTCTGCGCTCAAGGACGCCGAGACCAATGAGCACACAGATGCCTCGGCGACGGACAGGATAGAAATCTCTGGCGGTGACGGCGACAACGTGGAAAAGAAAGACAGCGGGATCGGGGGAGAACACAGAGAACAAGAAACACTCGATAAGGTCGAATCCCTGATCAATAAAGATGAGGCCAAGAAGACACTACGCACGGAGATGACCACGAAAACGGTCACCCCGGAGCATTTCTCCGCACTGTTTGCCCAGTTGCGCAAGATGGGCATGCAAGAATCAGAGATCAAGACCATGGAAAAAGTGGTAGCAAGGATGTCGCCCGAGGATATGTGCTTCGCAGTCATTAAGATGATCAAGCAAGAGCATCCGGACAGCCTACTGCTGCGGTTCCTGCGCGCGCGCAAATGGGACGTACGCAAAGCTTTTACCATGGCAGTTTCGGCAATCCTATGGCGGAAGGAGATGGAGGTCGACGATGACATCACACCCAAGGGGGAGCTGCACGCACTGCAGAAATCGCGCGATCCGAAACTCTCGGCGGCGGAGAGGAAGGAGGGCGCAGATTTCTTGGAGCAGCTGCGTACGGGGAAGAGCTTTCTGCATGGCGTTGATCGCCAGGGACGGCCGGTGATCTATGTCAGAGTCAAGATCCACAAACCCGGAGCGCAGAGCCAGGAGGCACTGGAGCGGTATATAGTCCATGTCATTGAGTCGACGAGAATGATTATTGCTCCTCCCGTCGAAGCCGGAGTGCGTGCTCCCTCTCTTGAAAGAAGCGGAAAGTACAGGCTAACGTTCGGTACCTTAGACTATTGTCTTCGACATGTCTGGGTTCTCTCTGTCAAACATGGTATGTTTTACGACTCCGCCATAAAAATATGCAGTCGACATTAACGAAACAGGAATACCAACCGGTAAAATTCATCCTCAAGTGCTTCGAAGCAAATTACCCCGAGTCGCTGGGACTGTTGCTGATCCACAACGCCCCATGGATTTTCTCCGGTAAAGCCTGACTCGTATCCCCCCCATAATTAACCCTCACTAACCAAGAAACGAAATAAGGAGTCTGGAGGCTCATCCACGGGTGGATGGACCCCGTCGTCGCCTCCAAAGTCCAGTTCACTCGGTCGATCGAAGACATCGACCGGTTCGTGCCACGCGAACAGGTTCCTCGCGAGCTTGCTGGTGACGAAGACTGGGAGTACAAGTACAAGGAGCCTGAAGACGACGAGAATGCGATCATGCAGGACACGGAAACACGCGACAGCCTCATGCTTGAGCGCCTGATGAGCGGCATTCGCATGTTCGCGGCCACAGCCGCCTGGATCTCCGCCACGACCTTCGCGGGCGGGAAGAGAAACCAAGCGACGGTGGAAGCGGTCAAAACGCGTCGGGATACAACCATCCAGGAGTTCCGGGAGAATTACTGGCGGTTGGATCCGTATGTACGGGCTCGGTCGCTGATTGATCGGGCTGGGATGCTAAATCCCGGTGGGGCGGTTGCCATGGGCCCTGAGGGTAAAGGGGGTTAGTTGGGTTTTCTTCTTTCCTTTTTCTTCTTTTCGTTCTCTTCTTAGTCTTCCTTTTGTGTAGGTTTGTGCAAGTTATTGGGGTATAATGCCTGTCTGACTCCGTCCGGTGTGATACTCGGGAGGATTCTAGGCTCGCATCCTTCGAGTAGCTTAATTCTTTCCCTTGCACTTAGCTGAGCCTGAATTTCCAGCTACTCCCAGGATGGCAGGAGCAATTCCGACGGTGTGAATCAGCGCAGTAATGATCATCGGCAGCAGATGAGCCTCTTCGCTCGGCTCCACTAGGCTACTAATCCATCCGACATAGGAGATAGACCAAGACACGGGACCCGGGCCTACATCTCCTCGGGAATGCGATATCAACCACTGCCGGCAAGATAGGGCCTATAGTCATTTCCCATCCGGCGATCTCGGTGGATTGCAACCTGGCCAAGCTGCGATGCAAGGTATCCCCGGACGGACCAATGTTGGCATCGCACCGGATGCCTCCCGAGAGACCCAGTTCCTAGTTTCCTAGGACGTAACCTGAAGGAGCACATGGTCGGCAGGAATCAGCTCCTTGACTAGTGTCGATTACCGAGGACCAATTGATCACCGCCTGTGCATAGATCGACAAAAGTAGGCTGGCGGCCTGAGCCTGGAAGCCGCCAAATCAACTATCTACGACGTACTATTTTTATGGCTTCAATCTATGCCCGAATGAGTAGGGTCAGAACAAGGCAAGGCTCGCGTGCAAGACACTATTCAGCGGCGACCTCCACCGTAACTC